GTGTGTGTGTGTGTGTGTGTGTGTGTGTGTGTGTGTGAGTGAGTGAGAGAATATTTACAGCAGTGATTTAGATTTAGTCTGCTTTGCCAGATACAGGAAACCTCTCCCATACACACACACACACACACACACACACACACACACACACACACACACACACACACACTCACACACACACACACACACTCTGCATAGAAAAAGGAGTCCGCTCACATTTGAAGACGGATAGAACAGCTGGATTTCTTCCCAATGTTGAGAGAGAAGCCGGTTAGGCTTCATTAATGGTTAATGGTTTATTGCATTTCTCTACATCGGTTCGCTCGTTCAGCACTGAGCTGAAACAGCCAGCTGACCTTCTTGGCCTTGAGCGTCCTCCTCCACAGCGTGGAGAAGACGCCGTCCGTCCAGTCGTTGGTGGTGACGTCCAGCGTGCCGAACATCTGCGAGGCCGTGATGGCTTTGGGGTTCATCCTCATCTCTCGGTGGGGCGAGCCGCACTCCGACATGGCCTTCATCAGTGTGTGGATGCAGGACGTCTTCCCGGCGCCGCTGGGACCCAACGCCATCATCCCTGCATCAGTCACAGGTGTTATAATGATTCTACTGTTAAAGACAAGTTCACACGCTGAGCGTTTCTATTCTCAGTAGAAATAAAACTGACTGCTATTATAATATATAATTTTCTTTAGAGACTTTTAGAGTAAAACGGTGACAAAGGTAACAGTATTTTCATAATTTAGATATAATATTTTGACTTGTTTTCAATAATAATATTAGAGTATAGAAGCCCGACCAATATTTGCACCGACCCATCAGGTCAGCTGACCAATAAGTGTCCAAATTACAAACAGATTTTGATTGTAATTTGGAGTGTTTGTTCCTTCTCTCCAGAGGATGAACCCTTATAAGTTAATGACCTTTCCTTCAGCCAGGACGAACGTTACATCTTTAGCTCTTTATGCTGTGAGAACGGATGAATCATCAGGATGTGTGAATGTGCAGCAGGTGTGGGTGTGAGCGCACCGTGTCGGACTCTCTGAGTCTCGTAGAGCTGAACCAGTTTGAGGATCCAGGGGGGGTGAGGGATCAGACCGGCCCGCTGAGCCTGACTGGAGATGGACGACTCCAAGTCTGGATACCCGGCTTTATCCAGAACTACAGAGGAGGAGGAAGAGGAAGTCTTTAAATCATATTTAGATGTGAATAAAGACAAAACGTCAGCTTCAGAATGAAACAGTCACTTCCTGGTTAAACAACCTCAGTCTGTTTGTCTCCACACATTAAGCACCAGGTGTGGATCAGGTGCGTCATTCACAGAAACGTACCGATACCAGGAAACAGGTCGTTGATCAGACTCATGAACAGAGGCTCGTCCTCGTCCACCTGCAGAGACACAGGTGGGCCTCCAAATATTATTCCTGCTGCCGACATCATCAAACCCTATAGGAACATGCTGGTGCCTTACAGTAGCAACAGACAACCCCGCGATTCAGCTCCACATTGAACAGAGGTTAACTAAATGTAAGTACAATGTGCTTATAATGCCCTTAACTAATCCTTCACAATACTAAAGCCATGTTTATGTTTTACCATCTTCCTAAAAAACACACATACTACCTAACAACCAGTAATACGCACCAGTTTGGAGAGGTTCATGTCTCTCAGGACCCTCATCACCACAGTCTGCTCTGGTTCTGATGGGTTCGATCTCTTCACAGCTCCCAGCGTCCTCAAAACTGATAAAATGTTCCTCAGACCAAAATCGTAATGGACCTGGAGTAAAAACATACCTGATACCATGAAGTCAAATGTACAAGAAGTACGTTTTGCAAGCTAATCAAGTAGAGACAAATAAGAAATATATGATTATGATTTAGATTATGTGTGTTTGTAGAAGGCACGGGAAGGAGAAAGTTTAAATGACATTGTATGATGGTCGTATTATCTCTATTCCGACCTGTTTGGAGAGCTGCTCCTCACACAGTTTGTAGAGGGTGTAGAACTTCCTGCTGAGGACCTGGTTGTCACGAAAACCTGCGCTGGCCAGTTTGACCCTCATGATGATGGCTCGGTCCGGCACCATCATGGCGACCGTGCGGAACTGAATCTTCAGGTTCTCGGGAAGCTCCTGACGACCGGCGTAACCGGGGTTCTGGAGGATCAAGAAGTTCACGTCAAAGTCTGGAACTCTGCGGTTGCTTCGGAGGTGGATCAGTTCTTTACCTCTGACTTCTCCTGAGATAGATCAGTTGCCCAACTTTGAAGATTCTCAAGTGGTTTAGTTCTACAGCAATCAGACTGATTATAATAGATCAGATCTAGAACTCTCTAACTGGTTCTGAGATACTTCACCTCTAGAACCCTGTTTGAGAGGTAGATCAGTTCTCAAACTCTGGTTCTGTAGTAGCTAAGTTCTGAAACTGGTTACTCTGAGGTAGTTCAACAGATTCAGAAGTGCAGATTCCTCTGTGGTAGTTAAGGTTGTTGAGCGAGTTAAACAGATTTGTTTAGAACGTTGGTGGTGGTATTCTAGAGCTTCTAGAATCATTAGCTCTATGTTTTTAATTTCTAGAATCTCATAGTGAGCCGTACTGCAGTTGTTGTTCTTAACTCTTACTCTAGAAGCCTTTAGCCAGATGGATGGCACTTTAGATCTGAAATACTTTGGACAGCTCTGTGGTGGTTTTGCTCTAAGAACCTGTGGTGTATGTCCATGTTTATGTTGATGTAGTCCAGTGGTTCTCAAACTGTGGGGCGCACCCCTCTAGAGGGGCGCGGTGGTATTACAGGTGGGGCGCAGGGGGAAATGCAGATTTTTTTATTTTTTATTTTATTTTATTTTTTAATTAATTAATAAATACATGACGAAATGCCTGTACTTTCGTGTAAATGTTTACGTTACGCCGTTAACAGGTTACGCTTGCGCATGCGCGACGGCCATGATCCTTGGCGACTCACATGTGTGGCTTAGTGTTCCAAATGAAGAGACATTTGGCAGGCGGGAACAGAAAAGCAACCGCAAGCGATGCATCCGAGACGAACAGCAAGCAGCCAAGAAGAAAATATGATGACGCCTATCTTGCTCTGGGTTTCACAGTGAACGCGGTAGGAGATGAGGAGAGACCAGTCTGTGTTATATGTCTGAAAACTCTAGATGCAGATAGTATGAAACCCAACAAATTAAAAAGACACTTGGAGACATTACAGCCCACTCACGTCAATAAGCCACTGGAGTTCTTTCAGAGGAATCTTGATGAATACCACAAGCAAAATGCAGTGTAAAACTCTTTATAGCCAAATATTTGAACTTCTTTTGTTTAGTTTTTTACAGGTTGCACTTTATTGTTATCTTGAAAAGATGTTTAGTGCAAAACAGGTTAATTGCAGCCAATTGCAATAAGCTATTTTTTGCCAAATTGTAGTTATTTTTGCATTTTATTTGCATTGTTCTAACAAAGTGATTGCACATTTTATTAGTTTTTGTCTGATGGAGCAATCTGGTTTACTTAAAAGTGATTGCAAGTTTCTTTATTCTATTATTTGAAAAAGCACAGATGGAGGATAACGGAAATGTTATTTCAATAAAAATTCAACATGGACCATTTTGTTACAATTCTGTTGGGGCGGTGGGGCATGAACATTTTTCTTCCTCCAAAGTGGGGCGCGACAGAAAAAGTTTGAGAACCACTGATGTAGTCCAAGAAATGTCCAGCATGAGCTTTTCAGTCTTGTGGGAATTTCAAGAGCTAATTCTGTGGCAATTCTGCTCTAGAAGGTTATTTTAATGAATTCTGGTTCGATCACCATGAACGTGGTTCTAAAACATTTTGATCACTCCTGTGGTTGTTTATCTTCGCTCTGCAGTATAGAAAGACTAAATCCATCTCACAGGATATTTCTGAAGCTCCAAACTGTTTTCTGTATCTCTTCTGTGAATAACTAACATCAATCATAACTCATCTTTGCCAGCCTAAGCCTCAGGTCAGAGCTCAGTTACCATGGTGAGGAAGATGCCGAACTCAGGGTCCATGTCAACCACGTCTCCGTCTGTGAAGACAAACTGTTTCTTCTTGTTCCTCTTACACTGCAGGACGATGTAGATCTGCTGGGCGGCGACGGACAGGACCGGCAGCTCGATGCGGTTAAACTCATCAAAGCAACCCCAGGCTCCGGACTGGGCCAGACCTGCAACAACCAGATGACACTTTAAAAGACTTTCTGATGCACCTTTGTTCCAGTTTGTGTCCGTTTTTTTATCGCCACAGGTCTTGGTTATGTGCATGATAAAAAATACATGTAAGAATTAATTTTTAGGTGGTTATTCTTCTTTGGGCTCGAGTCCAAGTCCATCGCAGGACTGCGTGAGAATGTCACAGGTCATTTTAGGGCTGGTCACAACCTTCTAGACCTGTAAAAGCCTCTTATCTTTCCGACTCAAACAGTAATTAGAGAAGAATCCATCAGCAGCACTACCCATACACTGCTGCACTGGAGTAATCACACACACCTTTGTAGATGCGTCCAAGTCCTCTGTAGTCCATCTGGTCCGAACAGTTGAAAACCACCACATACTTCCCCAGACAGCGACCCATGTCTTTAGTGGTCTCGGTCTTACCTGAACACACACACACACACACACACACACACACACACACACACACACACTCAATTAGTCTATATAGAGAGTCTATAAGAATAGTTCACAGAGTTGTCACTAGAGGCACCTGTACTGTGTTACCTGTTCCTGCCGGACCAGCTGGAGCTCCGCCCATGCTCATCCCCAGAGCCTGGGACAGAGTTATGTAACACCTGGACAGATGTTCAAAAGAGTATTAACAAGTTCAGTTCTGACCGGACAATAAAGGCATCGTTTAAATATCAGTACCACCCAACAGTCGGTGTGTCAGGCGACTGTGTACCTGTCAGTCAGCGGGGTGATGACCAGTCTGTCTGTACAGCCCAGGTATTCGTTGCAGTAGCTGAACTCCACATCTGTGATTTGGATGACACATCTGTCCGTCTCCTCCAGGAAGTAAAACCTTGATTGTTTTTGCCACTCAAAGTCTGATGCAGACCTCACGTTCAGACGCACCTGATGGAGACGATAAAACATAATAACGATACCACTTTCATCCACGTTGAACCGCCTTCTTATCCGTCTCTCTCTGCCCGTCACCCACCAGCTCGTCGAAGATGTCTCTCTGGTGGACGTGGATGGTGATGAGCGTCTCGTACTTGGTCCTCTCGTTTCTGCTCAGCTCCCTGGTCGTCACGTCGATCAGCTCGTTGAGGAGGTCCAGGAACTTCTGATTGGTCGTCTGCATGATCTGTTGGCCAATCAGATAGGGGCAGTGAGGGGAGAGGCTCTACATGGCAATAAAAGATGCTCCTATTTTCAAAATAAAAGCACCTTCTTGTCAGACTTGCTGAGGATGAGCGCATCTTCTGCGTCTCTGGTCCAGATCATTTGGATTCCCAGCAGGCCAACCTGAGCTGGAAACGCCGACTGGAACTCCAGTAGCTTCAGGCCGGGGTCGCTGATGGCCAGGTGTGCCTGACAAATGACATTATGGAGGGTCTGCCTCACCCCTGATAGCAGCTGTCCTAACCACACCTCCACGTTACCCTGGAAGAGACACGTCGTAATGCTGCAGGCGTCATGAATCTAAGATATAATCCATATTTATGACGCATGTTCACTGGGTTTTAGTCAGGCGGCAACCTCCGGTTCTGCCATATGAATCTGCCATATGAAGCCGATGCTTCATGTGTTAAAGAGAAGTAGAGTCATTGTCTCATAGACTTCTATACAACCAGAGGAGTCGCCCCCTGAGAGATAATTAATGTATTCAATGGAGAGTCCCCATAAATACAGATATACAAGGTGTTGTATGTGTGTACCTGAGCCAGGATGGGTTGGCTCAGCTCCACAGTTTCTCCTTCTTGAGACTGAAAACTGATCATCTGGTCGTAGACTTTCTCATTGAAAACAACTCTGTTGACATTGTCAAACAGGCTGAGCAGGTGAGCCTGAGAGACAGAGAGATGTGGAGCTGAACATGACTTCTTCAAACAACAGAGAGAAACAACTAGAATACAGATGACCTGTGTGCTTACCTGTATAGTGTGAGAGTCAGAGGCCTGGCCCAGAATCTCCAGCAGGGCCGGGTCAGACACGAAGAAGAAACGAGGAAACACCAAGCGCTTCTTCTCCAGGTAACCAGACAGAGACTTCTGACAGAGCTCCAACTGATCCAGGAGATGAGGGAGCAACTGGTGGAGAAGAACAAGAACTGAATCATGTGTCATGTAACAGTGATGTGAGCGTGCTGTTGCTCAGAGGCACGTGGGCAGCACCTGGCTGAGCGTCTCGTCTCCCACGCAGCACGTCACCACGTTGGGCAGCTCGTGTGCTCTCTGCATGATCCGCTGCCACGACTTGTCAATGTTCTGGAATCGTTTGGCCTCCTGGACGGGTCAGAGGAACACTTTAGATTCTATCCGATGAGAGATTAAATATTCAGGCTGCTCATCTCACGCGTCATGATCATGTGACCTGAGGCAGCTGCTTGGCGATGTCTCCGCCCACAAACACGGCCTCCAGGTAGATCCAGAGGTTCTGAACCGACAGCCACTTCTCTATGGTCTCAGAGGTGTTGGAGAGTTTCTGGACCCACAGCTGGATGGACGGCTTGAAGGGAGCGTTGTACCTGCAGGAGGAGGAGGAGGAGGAGGAGCCACAGACGGCCGGGTCATTCATTAAACGTATTCATTCATTTAATAATTTATTCAATAATATTTCATTCATTCATCCAAGTCCTCCTTCCTTCCTTCCTTCCTAGTCCATCTTCTTTTCTTTCCTTACTAGTCTTCGTTCCCTTATTTCCTGTCTTCCTTTCTTCCTTTCCTTCCTCCCTAGTCTTTGTTGCATTCTTTATGTCCTTCCTTTCAAGTCATTCTTCCTCCCTCTTCTTCCTTCCTAGTTGTCCTTCCTTCCTTCCTAGTCCTCCTTTGTTCCATTCTTTCTTTCCCTCCTACTTCTCCTTTCTTCCTCCCTTGCTCCCTCTTCCTCCCTGTGGTCCCCTCGTCTCCTCAGCCCTAGTCTCCTCACCTGTTGCTGAGCAGAGAGGTCAGCACCATCAGACTGTCCTCCATCATGGAGATCTTGTCGGCGGTGTCGGCTCCTCTCAGCAGCAGTTCTCCTCGGGTCCTGAAGGGGGCGAAGCCGAGCGTGTGTCCTCCCCACTCGTCCACTACGTCCTTCAGCTTGTCCTCGATGTCTCGCTCCTTCACCGCGCTGATACACACATCCTGACACACACAGGAGCGCCAAAGGACATTTTATATATTTATTTTGGTGCACTGACGATGACGGAATAGTTATTTAATTCGTTGTTTCTAAAGCTTGGACATTTTATTTAGTATAGTTTAGTATTATTTTTATTTCAAAATAAAGGTGTTTATAAGTCTGTTTGGCGTGGAACAAACATCAAAACTAGTTCTGAAATCAAGGGAGAAAATGTAATGTTGTTTCAATAATGTGTGAGTAAACACCTCGATGTCCTCTTTGTAGCTCAGCAGCGGAGCCTCCATGATGTTTCTGAGGGAGAAACTCTCCCATTCCACCTGGAAGCTGTGAGCCGTCAGCTCGCTGAGACGAGTCCAGTGTCGGGGCAGCATGACCTGAAGGAAACAGTCCGTTCACTACGCGTCACCACTCCGGTCCAACGTGAGCAGGAGGAGTCTCTACTACCTTGTTGGCCATCATGTGGAGCAGAGGGCAGGTCTCAGTGAAGTCATCGATGGTCTTCTTCAGGTCTCTGAAGGCCTGCCACTCCTTCAGCGCCTTCGGAAGCTTCCGGATCCTGAAAACACAAAAGAAGAAGAGCGATGAAGCTCCTCTTTGTGCAAACTTTATTTGAAATACACATTAAAATACTTTTGAATGCATTCATTTCCTTCTTTACAGCACCATAGCTGGTGACCAAAACCTCATCATTCAACGAAAGAAATTACAGAAATAAGTATTTTAATTTGCTGCCGGCATCTTGAAGTCACATTAAGGATCTTTTACCTGGTCCTGAACCAGTCTCAGTGTAGTCCTGATCCTCTATATGAACCAGTCTCA